GCAGCAAATGGAAGAAACGGATTCATCTGAGCAAGACGACCAGACAGACACAGAGAACCTCCCACTGCACATTAGCACGGTATGCACAGCTTCAGAGATCGGGGTCCCTTGGGCCTCATTTTCTTATACATGTGAAACCTGATTCTGCTTTGTCTGTCTTCCTTGCAGCTGGGCAGAGTGGGTGGTAAATGGCAAAGTGGTTGCATTTTACAGCACCTCCCCAGGTGTAGATGTCTAATGCTGTCATGGTTCCCTAACTTCCTGCAGGGTGCACTGTATAATGACATTATTGGATGCTGGCTCATGAGCTTTCAGTGCAATCTTCATCTCAGCGTTAGAGGAGAGAAGACTTCCATGACATCTTGTACACTTCCCAAAGAGGATCTGCTTGTGTTAGAAATCCACACTTTTAATGCAGCTCCTTGTCTGCTGCAGTTTATTATCTTGGTTGCTTTTTAAATCTGTTTTGCCCGTAGGGTCAGTGTGTTTGAACAATTTCTAGTCTAACTTTGTTTATGGTGTTTTTTGTTTGTTTGTTTGTTTGTTTGTTTTTTTAATTAATGTGACAGGATGATTCAGGACCTGAAAAAGAAAATGCTTCAGTGCTACAGCAGAACACCTCCCTGTCAGGCAGCCGGAATGGGGAGGAGAACGTGATTGACAATCCTTACCTCCGGCCAGTGAAAAAGCCTAAGATCCGCAGAAAGAAGTGAAGTGCAGCCAGCTGACTACTCAGAGGAACACGAGCCCAGTTTTCTGGCAGTCCTGGGGGTCACCTCTGCTGCTGTGCGTGAGAGGCATGGCACAAGACAAGAGGGACAAGCAGGCTGGTAGAGTGGCAGAGGCAGAAATATGATCTCTCCTGCACTGTCCTCCTCTCTTGTAGTGCTCCCTATTCCCCTCCACTCCTGCTGACATAGAATTGTGAATAGTCAGTTGCTTTAAAGGCATTTGAGGCCACCTGGTTACAGATAGGAACAGTCTTGGTTACTTTGGTTCCTTATTTCTATGCCTAAGGAGAAGGGGCACACAGGTCTCTGCTGCTTAGAGCTTCCCAGCAGACACTACAGAATACAAGGACATAATTTGTGACTGTCTCACAGGTTAGAAGAGAAACAACTTCAACTTTCTCAGTCTGGCCTTAGAATCCGAGGAGTGTGTGTAACAGACAGAAAAAGCCCAGAGAGATTTTCCGGTTTTAAACTATCTTTGTATTGTTGGCAGGTAAAAGCAAATAGACTCTTCTTTTATAAACTGAAGGTGTTTGATATGTTAGTAGGAGAGCAGCATGTAAATACAGAAAAAAGATAAAATTTTATGATCCTTTTACTGACTACAGCTGCACTTCTAACTTAAAAGTGCTAAGTGTAGTGTTTACACTGCCCTGCTTTGAGGTTGTTTTCCAGCAGAATGAATGGTAGGATGCAACAGCTGCTTCGGGACATTTTTCAGTTCCATTGTTAGTTCCAACACAGCACAAATCCTTTGAGACTTCAAGCCTTCAGGAGCTCTTTGAAAGAAGCTGTGCTGAAAGTCTTGGAATATGGAATAAAGCGGTATCAGTTGCAGTCCACAGGGTCATCCTATTATTCACTTTTTTTTTTTTTTTGGTCATTTCTCAGTTAAGAGCTTTTATCCACAGAGTTCTCCCCCCCACCCACCACCTTCTTGCAAGCAGAATCCTTCTTTTCAGCGGTGAAAATGAATGATAATGGGAGTTTTGTGATCATTAGCTAGTTTGGGAGGCCTTTTCTTTAATCTTCGGACCGCCTTTACTCGGGCAAAATATGGGTTGAATTCCTTAGACAGAAGGCCACTCTTTGGTCCAGATCTGCATGTACACTTGGCAATTCCTCCTGGGGCACCTTGGTTGTACAGAATAACAAATGTACAGAGATACATTGTGTATGTATGTATATATAAAAATTTATATCTATTTTTCTTTATTCAGATTATGGATTTTTCATGATTGCAAAAATCCCTCGCTGGGTAGGGGAAAGAATGTAGGGTGAAAATAGTTTTATTTCATAATAAAAGAAGTTTTATGTCCTACAAGCAGAATTGATTGAGTCCTTGGCATCTGGAAAGGTGGGGAAAGCATGTGGAAGGTGCGTGGGTTGATTTTTTTGGGGGGGAAAAAGCTGCCTGTGGTGGCCCACAGTGGTGGGGAGAATGGGCGCCATTTTGGGGATGGTAGCACCCTGGGGCGCCTCCATAGCGACGTGGGGAAAAGGGCTGCCACAGAGAAGGGCACAGCAGGGAGGACGAAGTACGCAGTGAGGCCAGATACCCACTGCTTTTCCCTTCCTAGCCATTTTTATTTTATAAATAGATGACATGATACCTGGCAAGCACAGACAGAAGTGGCAAAAACTTCCTTTTGAAGCGGTTTTATTTTGGGAGGCAGAGTTAGAGCATTTATCTACCTGGAAGAGAGGCCTGAGGCGGCTGTTGGAGCACGGAGGTTCAGCCATAGTACAAACTCAGGTAGGCCACGCGGTTGCGATGTTTCTTGAACTCCTTGTCTGTTATCAGCTAGAATAAAATGAATACTGTTAGATTTTTCCTCAATGCATCGCTGCCGGGAAATGGCTTTCCCACCCTCAACCACTGTGTTCTGTTGGGAATATTACACTCCCAGGAGAGCTGCACAGGGAAGTCTGCATGCACGTATTCTAGCTTTTTTGGCTAAAATCTTACTTCCAGAGCAGACTTCTTAACAGAAGCATTTTTGAATTATTGCAGCTATTTCCCCCAAATTTGGTTTCAGCAAAGGGGGATATCTGATAGGCAGTTGCCTTGTAGCTGTGTCCCAGGCTCGTGCAGCCACATATCCAGCAGGATAGTGAGGAAAAGCTGACAAAATGCCTTTAAATAATCCCCTGCAACCATATCACAACGCTGGAACGGGAGTGTGATGCTTGTGATGCTAATGTACTGGTTCTACCTTAATCCTTGGGAGAAATGCATGGTGTGGCACCATATCACAACGCTGGAACGGGCGATGCTAATGTACTGGTCCTACCTTAATCCTTGGGAGAAATGCATGTTGTGGTCTTCTAGGCACCATGCTAGGTGAAAGACTAAACCACGTACTTGCAGGGGAGCTTTTCAAACATAATAAAGGTATCTGGGAACGTAGTTGCCCAGTAGTTGCCCATCTCCCACTTGTGAATTTGTCTGTGTTAGTGCTCTTGCTAGCTACTAAAGCTGTAAGAGAATGAGTTATGTTACCCAGGGAAGAATTCTCTTTCCAAAGGCTTATCTGGAAATCGTGGTGTTTTAATGGAAAATGGAGCATAGGCAGGCGGACATTTTCTCTCTTTCTTCCACCATGACTGGTATGCTCCTGGGCCAGGAGTCACAGCCTGTAAGAGAGAAAAATTCAATACAGAAGATTTTATGTTTTACAAAACATTTCTAAGTGGTCAACAGCTCCCTGGGATACTATAGACTGCTGTTCAGTGAATACCCTGGATGCTCTGCTAGTGTAAAAACAGCACAACAAGGCACGTACACGTTCACTGCTGCTTCCTCAATGTTTCCTCTGACATCTCTCTCGCTATACTGCTATTTTACAGAAGTTAGGCCAGAAGAAATGTCTACTAAGGCCGCAGATATGGAAAAAGAGGAATGGTTTTCCAGTTCTTTCTCGTTCTACATCTGAGTCTGTTTCTGAAGAAAAGCCTCACAACAAATAAAAAGAATTATTCTCACGAAAGTGAGAATAAAGAGTGGGAGTAGCTGGTGTCTGCAGGGGATGAAAAGTTCTTGAGGGACTTTTCTGGGTCCCTCAGGGCTGCTCTATTATTTCGGTTCTCTTTCTCAGGTGGAACTGAAGCAAAGCGTGGATCTCGAGTGCTGTGCACGAGTAACTTCCACCCCCAGCAAATGCAACCAAAACTGGTGGGAAGAGACTGCAAATTCCTGTAAGTTGCAGCTGTGCTGCTTTGAAGAGTGCTGCTCTTACCTGTGCCTCTGGCATGAAACGTTGGGCTGTTCTAGCTCCTATCACGTAGCCTTTCTTGCTTTGTGGCTTGTGAGCCAAGGAGTATACCAGGCTGCTTTTCTGCAATTCACAAGCAGAAACATCTTATTGACATTTTGAAGACACCATTTGCAGCAAAATAGGCAATTCCCTCTAATTTCTCTACTTCTCTAGAGTGCTAGGGCACTTTGGAGCTTTGAAGGCCAGTACATCTAGCTGTAAATTCCAGGATGAGAGTGTCCTTTCCTAGGTATCTGCATAGCCCTTCTATAAAGGCTTTGCAGAAAAGGTATTGGGATGTCATGTCTGGCTGATGATGGTCTTATTGCTCCTATAGGTTAGTCTGCTGTAAAGGAAAAGCTCTGAACATGAAAATCCAAAAAACTCACCTTGTGGTTCTGATAAGAGCCTGGCCCGAGCCGAGGGTCTCCCCTCATAGGTGTCAGCTGGATCCCCAGTCTGTCTGGTGCATGGTGGAAAGGGAACAATTTCCGCTCTTGACACGACCCAAAGGCGATCCGCTTCTGGATACCTGTGAAGCCAGGAGAGGGAAATGCCACCAGTGTGGTTCACCCCTGGGGGGACAACAACTTGCTGCTTCTCTTCATTTCCAAGTATGCTCTGCTTCCTGAGCACCCCCCTCTCTCCCAGATGGCAATTTCCCCTGCCCACGGATATTTGGGAGGGCTCTGCCCATGGGATCGCACTTCACAGCCAGCTCAAAGGCTTCTTTGTCACCAGACGGAGCAAAGAGGTGCCCTGCAGACTGGCAGGGGGCAGAGCTGGTGACTCCAGGGCGCTGTGTGAGAGGGAAAGCCCCTCTGCTCATGGCACGTGTGCCCGTGTGCCTTGCACGCTCACCGCTCAGCTCCAGCTCGTCCATCGTGCCGCTGGTGGGCACGCACAGCGTGCTGGTGTCACCACGTGTGTACTCCAGTTGCTATAGACACGGCGGAGCGGGTTCAGTGCTCAAGGGAATGCTGGTAACTGCAGCTCCGGAGAGGAGGGCTGATAAAAGCCTTGTGGATTCGTGGTTCCCAGGGGGACCGTCCTGCCAAGGGCACAGAGGGCTGAGCTGTCTTATATGGAGCCCTTGGAAAGAGTCAGGATGAGGAGGGACAACATGGTATTCAGTGTGCATGTGTTTGAAACAGCATTTCCTCCAGTCAGGAAATTTATCCATCTGTGCATCCTCCTGCACCCAGGAGCTGCCGTGTGCATGGGGGTCAGCTGTGGGAGGCAGAGGTCTCTGGAGAGCCACTTCTTGGCTGTGCTCCCAGGACCCTTGTCTATGTGCTCTCTCTTGGCACAGCCTGATATTTCCCATCTCCTCCACCCCCTCTCCTCCCTCTGCCTGGCTGGCCTGCTGGAACAGCAAGAAACCTCTGGAAAAGACAACAGTGTGGGACTTTGGAAGTCCAGCTTGTGAATTCCGGCTGTTCCCTGAGCAGGAGTGTAAGTCTCAAGAGGGAACCAGGGAGCATCAGAATATTAAGAGCAAGATGAGTCCAAGCAGAGAGGATTGTTGCTGTTGCAGAACTCTTTATTTCAGCATTCTTATTCCTTGGAATTGGGCTAGAAAGGACAGTTTGTTGTTCTAGAGTCTTCATGACCAGTTGCAGCAGGAGCAGCTGGTGTCAAAGACAAGGCCGGTCTGGCAGCTCTGCAGGTAGGTTTCGCCATCGTTGCAGTTGTAGAAGCTGCTCTTGCTGGTTGGATCTGCATAGATGCCGTTGGCTTTGCCAGCGCAGAAGCCACTTCCAGTGGAGCCACTGGTGTTGCTTCCTGAGCTCCCACTTCCGCTCCCACTGTCAGAGCTAGGAGCCTCAGTTACTGGAGAATTAGAGTCAGCAGAAGACACACAGCCTGAAATAAGAACAGAGGAGAGACTGTTTGTATCTGACGGTGTCTCAGCACTCCCTCCCTCCATAGTTCCATTTGTGGTGGGGTCAGCAGATCAGCTACTAGACTTTATTTCCCAAAGTCTTTAGTTATGGCTTCCACAGAGGGTCATTATCCTCCAAGGCCCTACAGGTAAAAGTTCATGGCTGCCTGGAACCAGGCATGAGCACTGAGCCAGGCTGTCACCTCCAGGAGCCCATGCTGCTCATGTTACTCACTGCTGCTTTTGAGACCAAGAGCATTCTTCAGAGTGGTGATCAGGGGGTATTTGCCCTCCTTGCAGAAAGAGCCTGTGAAGTCATCCATAGGAAGGGACCACACCATAGCACCTCCATAGTTGTTCTTCTTCAGCCAGTCGGCCTGTTGAGGACCAGAGGAGAAGCCCCAGTCAGTGCCAAGAGCTGCTGCAGCAGAAGTCCTCCCACAGCATTAGGAGGACATCTCCATTTCCCACTCTACCTTGATGTTGAAGCTCTTGATGTTGTCGTAGCCAACCCACGTGCTGTCCTTGTAGGCATAGGGCACGTCCTGGGGGGTGTCCCAGGCCTGGGTGGCTCCAGAATCCAGGAATGTGCAGATCTAGGGAGAAGGATAGGGAGGAGTGTTTTGAAGTGTCTAACAAAAAAAAGGGCATTTAGAGTATTCTATGGATCCCATGTTAGGAATTCTCTGCTGAGTAATTCAATGACCTTTTCTGTTTGTGGCTTCCTAGATGTAAAAGAACACGCTCACCTCGTAGTAAGCCAAGGTCCCAGCCTCTTTTGTGTAAGATCCAGCTGGCCCAGCTCCTGATGTTGGTGCCCCAACAGCAGTGTCAGAGGTGCTTTGGAGCTTGAAACTGTGTCCGTAGGTTGGGAATCCAACAAGGAGCTTTTCAGCTGGGGCACCGTTGCTCTTCCAATAGTTCATAGCATAATCCTGTTACAAAACATAATAGCTCAACTGCTACAGGATTTATGAGGAGGAAGACCAGTTCCTGAACTCTTACTATTGGTTTCATCACAGACCTGTGACACAGGATCACAACATATACTTACAACATTGAAGTAGATGTTGCTGCCAGTGTCAGCTGGCCCTTTGTACAGGGGACTGTTCTCTCCAGTGTATCCTTCCCATGAACCATGGAAGTCGTAAGTCATCACATGGAAGTAGTCCAGGTACCTGTGGAGAACATTGCAGGCATCTGTGTCTTGGCCTGTTGATTCCCCCAGTACAGCTTGTAACTTTAGTGCTGGCTGTTTGTCCTGTGGTGTCCTTGGCCATACACCCATGTCCTTCAGGGACTCTTTTGTCAAGCATTGCAGGTGCTAGAGCTGTTTTTTTTCTGTGCTAGGCAGGTAGGGAGAGGACAGTGAAGGGTGGGAAATGTACTGGTGTTCTGGGAACTGAGAGATGCTCTCCCAGAGGCCAAGGAGGCTTGATGGAGACCTCATAACCCCTCCCAAGGTGACCCCTTCCCCACCAAAAAAAAAAAAAAGAAAAAAAAGGGGAAAAAAGGATGTTCTAGTATTTCTCTTGTCTTATCCAAAGAACTGTCAAGATTCTCAAAAATGGGGCACTTAATAGCACATTTTTTCCCTTTATTGTGCAAAGAAGTCCCATCTAAGTCACTGTTTTGGTATCTGAGAGT